GGAGCAGCTCTCGTGTGAGGAGAGCCCGAGCGAGCAGGGCCTGTGCAGCCTGGAGGAGAGGAGGCCGAGAGGGGACCTGGTCACTGTGTCCAAGCACCCGAGGGGAGGATGGAGGCAGGAAGGGGCCAAGCTCTTCCCGGTGGTGGCCGGTGCCGGGACAAGGGGCCATGGGGACAAGTTGAACCCTGGCAGCTCCGTGTGCCCGTGAGGAAGAAGAAGGTGAGTGTGAGGGTGGCCGAGCCCTGGGTGAGGCTGCCCAGGGAGGCTGCGGAGGCTCCTGCTCTGGAGAGCTCCCAACGCGCCGGGATGCACCCGGGTGCTCCGGGTGTCCCTGCTGGAGCAGGGGCTGCCCTGGGGGATCCCTGGGGTCCCTTCCCACCTCAGCCATCCTGGGATTTGGGGATTCTGAGAGCCCGTGTCCTCCATGCAGGCCTGGAGCACAGCGGTGCGGGGAGCAGAGCGAGCGGCCCCCGTGCCGGGCTGAGCTCCGTGGTGTGTTTCGCAGCAGAGGGACACGAGTGTCCCCTGAGAAACTGCAGCCGAGTCAGCGCCCGCGGGACCAGCCCGGGCAGGCGGCAGYGCTCACAGGGAGCAGAGAAAAGTCCCCTTTCCTCCTGGTGTGGAGGACGGCGGTTGTGTAACCCCGAGCGCAGGGATGTGGAGCTCCTGCACCTCCGATTCCAAGACATCCAGATTCCATCACCATCCATGGGGAAGGGCCAGGCCTGGCTGTGGCTGCAGTGCCGTGGGGCAGCGGGTGACACGGCGCCTCACGACTCCGCACGGCTGGATCCTGGGACCAGACACCCATCATTCCTGTTTGGAAGAGGAAACCCAGCTCCCGTGCAGGGCAAAACAGTCCAAAGGGAGAGAGAAGGAGCCCGGCAAGWCCGGGGCAGCGTTTGGAGCCGGGGGGCTGCGGCTGCATGGAGCTGCAGCAGAGATGGCCCTGGGTGCCGAAACGGCCTTAGGCTCGGCCTTGGGGCAGCCTGGACTCGGGGTGCCCCCTGCCCGCTCCCCTGGGATGCCTGCGGACTCCCTCGCACCCGGGTCCTGCCCGGCGAGGATGGTGCAGGCGGGGTGTGCGCGATGCTCCTCGCTGCCGTTTTCCTCAGCAATTACCCACTAATTGCTGCCCAGACGGGTCTGCGGGTGGTTGCTCCTTCCCGGTGCCGTGCCGGTTCCAGCCCCTGGACCATATCCCACGGCAGGGACAGTGCTGGGCTGCGCCACACCGCTGTGTCCTGCGACTGGGGCTGCTGATCCCAGGCTGCCCGTTGCTCTCTGCTCACTCCCTGATCCTCCCGCGTGGCCAGTTTCACCTTGGCTATTGAGCGACCTGCAGTTTGCACCCCTGAGCAACAGCAGCTCAAAGCTGGACGGCTCCCCACACACATCCCTTGTCACCTACGCCCGATATCCCTTTTCCTCCCGCATACAACACGCGCACAGGTCTCCCTGCAGCTCCGCTGCTGGCACCTGTCCCCACCAGCGGGAATATTTCAATGCCGTCTGATCGCTGCTCGCATTGGCACYCAGGCCGTGTCAGCGAGCGCTGGACAGTCCCGCTCCCAGCACGGCCCCGGGGCTCTGGRCTGGCTCCCGCACCCAGCGGTCACTTTTCTCACGCTCGCTTCTCCTGGGCCCTTTGCAGGTTGTTCCTCCAAGGCAGCCCAGCAGGAATGGCCGCAGTTGGGCCACGTGCAGCCCTGGTTCAACCACAGCCTGGTCCTCCTGGGAACAGCGGCACCCCGCGGCTCCTCATCCTCCTCTTCCTCGCGTGTCCTGCTCCTGCTGCCCACGCTGTAACTTTGGCCCTGGCTTCTGAGCTCCCTCTCAGCGCAGCTGATGTCCAACCGGTGGACCTTGCCCAAGAAGTTTACAACATACCATTATTTTATTTGAAAGGAGGCATTCTAGTTCCTCAGTCTTATATTTTTCCTTATATTTATCTTGGTCCTCTTTCCTCTTTTCTTTTTTTTTTTTTTCTGTCTTGTCTTTAAAAAAGATTCTGTTTGTTTGAACTGCTCTCCCTTTTCCTCATTCTCCTGGTTTTCACTGTATTTGGAGCATGCTCCAAGAGACACAACTTTTGTGACAACTTTTTAGCTTCTCAGCCCCCATCTCACAACTTCATGTCTCTGCTTCCCTGTCTGACCCCTTGGAGAACGTGCCCATGGAAGCYCTGGTTTTACCTTCCCGCCTAAAGCCTGGGTTTAATGCCAGCACCTCTGTCCTCTGCTTCCCTCCATGTGGGGCCTGGGGCCATCGCTTCTCCCCAGCACTTAGGACCGTGTCCAGAACCCCCTGAGACCTGAGCTGTCCTCATGCAGGCCGGTTGTGCTGGGACCGTGGATCACCAGGGCTGACGTGTGGTAGCCCCGGCTCCCTCTGAGTCCTACACCAAGTCCTAAACCAAGTTTAGGACTCAGACTCCCTCTGAGTCCTACACCAAGGGGGTTTGCAGACAGGACCATCAACAAGACCTTCACCAGTGCCATGGGCCTGCTGGGCTTCTCAGAGCTGGGGCAGACACTTGGACCATGGGTGTTGCTGCCTCTTGGCCCTTGGAGATGCCTCTTGGTGTGCGGCTGCCCCAAAGGGAGCCCTGGTGGCCCTTGTGGCCATGGAGGCCTCTGCCCGCTGCTGCCTGGCCCAGAACCAGCCTGGTCAGGTTGATGTGGAGGCCAGGACGGACTCCAGCCAGGGGCTGGATCTGGTGCTGCTTGTCATGAGCCACTGAGGAGACCCAGGAACGTCTCACTGGGCCAGCTGCCATGGGAATGGAGAACAGACATGTGCTGAGGACCATGGACATGGGCATGTGCCAAGACCCATCAGGAAATGAGCCTGCAGTGCTAGGCTAAGCACAAGGAAGAGCTTATTCCAGAGAACAGGCTCTGGAAAGGGGTGGACCACAGCTGGAGAGTGCTCCAGCTGGCATTCGTGCGGCTTCACAGGGTTGCTGGGTCCCTATGTCTTGGGTAACAAGGCGCGAGTGGTGGAAAGACCATGAAGGCAGCAGGAGTGCAGGCATCAGGTCAGGCGAGACAGGTGGTAGAGGAGAAGAGATGTGGAGACGGGCCAAAAGGAGAGTGCAAAGGAAGCAGGGAATGGCCCCGTTGGGCATGGGTCCATCCTGCCCAGTGTCCTGTCTCCTGCAGCACACGGGAGTGGCTTTCGGGTTAAAATAAAAGGAAATGATGCAGGTGTGAGGGGAGCTTTCCCTTATCAGACACACGTCGATGGAGATGGAACAAGACCAACGTCTATAAAAGACACAGATGACCTGTTCTCCCCGAACTTGGCTAATGCATCTTCTAATCCATTCCCAAAAAAGAAGTCTGGAAGATAACTAGAATGTCCTTTGGTTTACATAGGAGACTTAGTGGTCAAGACCCTCTGGAGATGATATCACAGTGACTGCAGGAGAGACTGGGCAGAAGCTGGACTAACCCCAGCGCAGAGTGTGGGGAGCACCGACATCCTTCTCATGGGCCCCCCTCTTCGGCACCCTGGGGAAGTGGCTGCTTTTCCATGACCCCCCATCATCCAAAGACAGCTGGAGGCAGCACCAAAGCGGTTATACTGGGCCAGAGCCTGGTCCCTGCCAGGTCTGCACGGACCGGCAGCCAGTTTCACCCATATCAGAGTTGGGTTAAGTGTCYAACACAGGGCAAGCCTGTTCTGCTRCTCCGCATTCAAMAGCCCTTGTCAGGTTTCTCTCCCATTAATCTGCCCAACCATTTATTTGAGCCCATTCAAATTCCTGGAGTTTTTGGTAAAGATTTTGCCGGGTAAGCGACGTTTGTTTTCAGCTATTAGCAACAACTGTGGTAACAAATCCATTTTCTTTTCCCAGAACATAGCTGGATTAGTTAAGACAAAAGGTCAAAATTCATATATGTATATTAATATACAGTTTAAGCCAATATTAATATACGCAGGGATTGTAAATTGCATTTATAAAAGAGCAGCAGGATTATTTACCCCTGAGTATGAKCTGTAGTGGAGTGATTCTGAAGCTGTTTCCTCTACAGGAATGTGGTATCTGATGGGAGAGGGAAAGTTAGCTCGGGTTGTGGAATGGCAAGAATTGCTGAGGAATGCACCAAAACTCTCAGCTGGAGAAAACTGCTGCTTTTTWAACTTATTGCTAGGTCGGTATTGGGCAAGTTTTGAAGAGACACAGCCTCGGACAACGTGCGTGAAGGTCTCCCAGCCCTTGCATGTCTTCCACAGGATAGGTTTTTGTGGAGGTGCCAGAGATCTGGAAAAATTAAGGGAAGAGAAATGCAAAATTTGAGTGCACTGAGCGCAGGAGCTCTSCAGAAATGCAAAGTTTGAGCGCACTGAGTGCAGGACCTCTCCGGGTAGCTGGAGAGGCCGGGACAGCCAAAGCAAACACAGATAGCCTGTGCCACGCGGGCAACACCTAAGCCRAGCCTGACGCAATGCTTACACTGAAACCCGACCTCGAGGTGCTGCTCAGAGYTGCGTGTCTCCAGCCCTAACCGCGTTCAGCCAACCTGCTGGGAAAGAAAAGCTCTTTCCTTAGGACAATGCAGACCAGATGGGGACGATAAATGCCACTTGCATTGTGCCTCAAATACCACGACTAGCATTGCTCAACCTAAGGCTGGGGAGGGATAAGGAGAATCTGAGGACAAAATACTTAGCAAAAAGTCCTCAGAAGACTCAAACTGCCTTTCATTCCTGAAAACGCCGGAGAAGATCAAGGGATAGGGCTCTATACCACAGAACCCAGGTGAGATAACAAACACAATGACAGCGCACAAAGTCAATGACAACAGGGAAAAGGTCGGAAAAAATCTCCAATGAGGGCTAAAATGAGCACCAAAAAGGTTTAAAGTTATTAATAGAAAGATACCAGCAGCAAAATAACCATARTATAATGGGAAAAATACTGAAAGAATGCAATTAAAAAAATTACCCAAAACCCCCAAAGGAAGAGGTATTAGGATTATTTCTCTAAAATTTTAAGGAAATAAAGCCCSGAGTCCGGGTCGGGCACGCAGCGGCGCAGCAGCTGCAGGTAGGTGAGGTTCTCGTGCGTGTTGGGGTCGAAGAAGCCCTTGGTGTCGTCCGAGGCGTCGCAGAGCACGCGGTTCATSTCCTCGTCGAAGTAGCCGCGCCGGTAGGCCACCTCCACGGGCACGCGGTGGCTGTGCACGGGGTCGATGATGCCGCCCGTGGCGATCTGCGCCTCGAGCAGGCGGACGCCGTGCTCCCTCACGATGAGCTCCTTCTGCATGGCCTCGAAGAGCGAGATGGTGCCGCCCGAGTAGGGGTCCTTGTAGCCCGTCACGGCGCGCTCCGCCGACAGCAGCTTCTCGTGCAGCTCGCCGCCCACCAGCCCCGCGCGCACGGCGGCGTCCACGGAGAGCTTCTGGTTGCGCACGGGGTCGATGAGGAAGCCCGTGGCYGCCTGCGCCTCCAGCAGCACCAGCGCCGTGCCCTGCCGCACGATGCCCTTGCGCATGGCCTCGTAGATGCTCATCTTCTCCACGCGGCCGGGCTGGCCCTTGCGCGGCGCCAGCACGCCGGCGATGCAGCCCGTGCCGGCCAGGTAGCGCCGCACGCCCTCCATCTGCGTCACCTCCTGCACCGTCTTGGAGCCCTGCACCAGCTGCGCCAGCGTGCGCGTGTCCAGGATGCCCGAGTCCAGCAGGTCCGAGGCGCTCACCTGCCGCCGCAAGCCCTCGAACTTCACCGCGCTCATCTTGCGCGCCGTCTCCTCGGCCAGYGCGGGCACGAGCCGCGCCGCCTCGTCCAGCGTCGCGCTGCCGTCGCGCAGCCTCGCCAGCAGCTCCCGCCTCTTGGCCTCGCACACGTACTGCGAGAGGAGCAGCTCCCACAGGGACACCTGCCTGCCTTGGAAGGAGCCCACGGACACGTGCACGGAGCGGGACTCGAGGGCCCGCTGCAGCTCCCGCTCCCGTTGCAGCTCTCGCTCCCGTTGCAGCTCCTGCTCCCGCTCCCGTTGTCGCTCTCTCTCCTGCTCCCGTTGTCTCTCCTCTTCCTGCAAGGAGCCCGTTGCATCGCCGTTCTGGTGCAAGGATGGCACGTCCCCATGCGGCGGCGCTTGGGTGACCGCTGCAGCGCCACGTCCTCGGCCCTCGCTCGCGCTCACCACRTCGCCGAGGACGCGGATCATCTGCGCGATGGAGAGYGTGCCCGCGTGGTAGCTGCCGAGCAGGTCCTGGCGCCGCCGCTCGGGGACGTAGCGGGACAAGAGCAGCTCCCACACGCTGACGCTCTGGCCCTCAAAGAGCCCCGCGGCCACGGTGGTGCGAGTGTCCTGCAGGGCTTTGCAGGCCTCCGTGCTGAGCCGGTGGAGCACGGAGCTCCTGTCCATGAGCTGCAGCATGAGCAGCCCCGAGTCCGGGTCGGGCACGCAGCGGCGCAGCAGCTGCAGGTAGGTGAGGTTCTCGTGCGTGTTGGGGTCGAAGAAGCCCTTGGTGTCGTC